TAATCAATATAACAATGATAATAATAATGATTATTATGATACTGCTGCCAGAGGCGGTTCTCCCGGGGGGGCAGGGGGGGCACAGTGCCCCCCCCCCCACTTTTTCAGATACCCCAAAAGTGCCCCTTTTTACATAGGAAAAGTGCCCCTTTTATTTTGTAAGAAGTGCCCCTTTTACATAGGAAAGGTGCCCCTTTTACTTTGACAAGTGCCCTTATTACTTAGTAAAAGGGCCCCTTCCCCCTTTTCACCTCTGACGAGTGCCCTTTTTATTTTTGACACGTGCCCCTTTTCCTTCGACATGTTCCCATTTTCCTTTGCAATAAGTGTCCATTTTCCATTCTCATAAATCTTGAAATTATCTTGAATAAGTGCCCTTTTTAATCTCTAGTAAGTGCCCCTTTTCACTTTTAATAGGTGCCCCCTTCACCTCTGATAATTGCCCTATTCAAAACTGAGAGGTGCTCCTTTTACTTTGACAACTTCCCCTTTTTTCCTTTGTAAGAAGTGCCCCTTCTCCTTTTAATAACTACCCCTTTTTTAAACTCGGATGAGCACACCTTTCATTTTAACATGTGCCCCTCTTATTTTCTAATAAGTGCCCCTTTTCCTTATGATAAGTGCCCCCATTAAAAAGAGAGAGCTCCTTCCCTTTCTCATGACTACCCCTTTCCCTTTCTAATAAGTGCCCCTTTTCCTTATGATAAGTGCCCCCATTGAAAAGAAAGAGCTCCTTCCCCTTCTCATAACTGCCCCTTTTAAAAATCTGAACGGTGTCCCCATTTTATTCAACAAAAGCACATTTTCCTTTATTATAAGTGCCCCTTTTACATTTTCATAAGTGCCCCTTTTCATATCTGGTCAGTGCCCCTTTTCAACTCTGATAATTCCCCTTTTAATAATGATACGTGCCCCTTTTCCTTTCTAATAAGGGACCTATCCCCTTTTCACCTCTTATAAATGCCCCTATCAAAATCTGATGGGTGCCCCTTTTCCGTCAACAAATGCCTATTTCCCATTTTTGTAAACGCCTCTTTTTCATCACTGGTGAGTGCCTCTTTTCAGGTGAAAAAATGCCTCATTTTCACCTCTTATAATTATCCTTTGTACTTTGACACGTGCCCCTTATTTAAAGCGACTAAGAGCAATTTCCCCCAAAGTTCGCTCGCTGCGCTCGCTCGCATTTAAAGATGATATAATTATGTTACTTATCAAAGGTCTTTTCAGTCTTCCGTTATGAGAATGTGCTTATAACCCCATCACGATTGGCTTTTTTCCTCTTTATAAGATGTAATTTTTCGCACTGCGACCTCACAGATCTTTAAAATTTTTCTCGCTCGCTTCGCTGGCTCGTAAATGCATATTCAGACATCACACCCAACTGTAAAGTATGATGCTTAAGCCATATATTGAATGATGTATGAAGAGAAACAAATATTGAAATCATCCCTGATAATGTATCACAATGTAGGGGTATATACCAATGTCTAAAAAATTGTATATTTTCGCTTTGAGATTTCCCACTGTAGGTGCCCTTTTTTTTTCCAGAAAGTGCCCTTTTTTGTTGGTGCCCCCCCACTTTGGAAGTCGCTCGGCCGCCCCTGACTGCTGCTATAACTACTACTACTACAACTACTACTAAGAAGAAGTAAATGAAGAAAAAGTGGTAGGAGAAGAATCATTTCAGCGATATTAGTGAGTATATTCTCAATGATTGAGGCATACACGTGCATAAACATTACATATTCCGTGGTAAGAATAAAGTAAGCGAGGAAAATGAAGGCAATGCCAAACGAGAGCGAGAGAGAGAGAGAGAGACAGAATATGGCCGGATTCAAATTAAGTTTTCTTTAAATCAGACCCAGTACTGAGGATCTTTTCATGTGCCATGTTTTTGTTATTTGATGGCCTTTGAAGCTACTAAAAAATGCCGTCTTTTGTCACCAAATATTGTTCAAATAGCATTGTAGAGACGATGAACAACTACGAACGCAAAGTCGTTAGCCATGCGAATGTCAATTTCTATCAACCAAGTAGAATCAACTGTTTTTTTCTTTTGTCACCAAATATTGTTCAAATAGCATTGTAGAGACGATGAACAACTACGAACGCAAAGTCGTTAGCCATGAGAATGTCAATTTCTATCTCGTTCTGCTAAATAATCCGAACAATAGAATCAACCAAGTAGAATCAACTGTTTTTTTCTTTTGTCACCAAATATTGTTCAAATAGCATTGTAGAGACGATGAACAACTACGAACGCAAAGTCGTTAGCCATGAGAATGTCAATTTCTATCTCATTCTGCTAAATAATCCGAACAATAGAATCAACCAAGTAGAATCAACTGTTAAACGAATTTATCATGAGTTCTGAAATTTCAATTTGTTACTGCACGTCATAATAGTATTAAAGAGCAGCAATGGCGAACGATTGTCGCTAAAATTCAAAAATTGTTGCTTAGATTGATTAAATTACCATGAGACATCAAGCTACATAGAACTATGATCGACAAACATGATATTGTTTTGAAAACAGTCTGAAAACATTGGAGGTAGAATGAATAAGAGATAATGTGGTCATGTAAACAAGTGCATTATGTCCATGTTAATCCCCTAGTTCCAAAATCATGATTGTATTCTCTATTTATTTCTCCTATATAATTTATTTCAATTTAAAATAGAAATTCTAATGTTCCTTCTTTTGGCTTAATTTTTTCAGCAACGAATTGACAGTTTTGATAGACATCTTGGATGTATCATAGCAATAAATTCTTGGCACATGACGTATTGTGTATACGATAATTATGTTCAGAAGAAGAAGCATACAAATAATTATAAGAATGATAATAAAAAATAAGCTTTATAATAATGAATATAATTACGATATTTACTATAATTATAAATATAACAATGATTATTATGATACTGCTGCTATTACTACTCCAACTACTACTACTAGGAAGTAGAAGATGAAGAAGAAGGGGAAGGAGGAGAATCGTTTCAGCGAAATTATAGTGGTTATATTCTCTTTATATGATTGAGGCATACACTCAAATTTAAATCATAATCAAACAGGCATCTGAAGTTTTTAGATGCTTACTATTTGCTTCATGTTGTTGAAAATCGCCCCCGGCTGGATCGCACCCTGCTGCCCTGCATCAACGAACAAACTTTGAGAAAAGATTTTTGTCTCCCTTTAATTCAAAGTCGTTTTACAAATTTTTGACCATCGAATAATACCCGCATTCATTCAGCTAAATTTGACACGAGGTTATTTTTGGCTAATTGTTTATCGTGTATTTTGTAGAAAGATGCAAACCCTCGTGTAATTTAAATAACGTTGGAAATTTGGAATTGAATTGGGGCCTTGAGCAAAGAATACACGTTAAGATGACCAAAAGTGCGAGGTAGTTTCCACTGCCCGTGGGATCATACCGTCGCCGTTTTCACGAAGTGTCCCAAGAGCGTTTTAGCGTACAGAAACAAATTTTGAGATAAACGCGTTTAAAGTTTCACTTTTTTACAATCGCTGTTTTCACTGGGAAAAAGTATGTGATGGTATTCATTTTTTTGGATATCTTGATAGTACACTATCTACAGAATGAAATGATATAAGTTTTACGTGGAAATAATGTTTATTTAAACAAAAATTAGACCTCAATCACAGAGGACAGTCAGAGGACGGTTCGTGAAAACGAAAAACTTGACATCCACGCTTAGGCTCGTCTTCACGTAGTGGCCCCGCAGCTTACGCGGCCCCGTTTCCCCTGTTGGTTATGTGAAATTTCGTTTTTACGAACCGTCCAGTTGACGTGCGCGCTGTGCAAAGCAATGCCCATTTGCGTACCCCCCCCCCCCCCCCACCCATAAAACTATATTTGTCATACCTAGCTGATTCTGTTTCCTCGAAATCACAGCACTATATTCAATGTTAGACTCGCATCACTCTGCCCCATCCAGAAATTCATCTTGAATCCTTCACATAATGCAGGAAATGCAATAATTTGTTAGTGACTCTGAATGCCCGTTATGGAAATTGTATATACTGTCCTGCTTCATATGTGATTTAAGTTTAATTGAATATTTTTGTCAATGATCAATAGCATATTTGTATACTTTTTGTTTGGGGGGGGGGCACACCAAGCACTATGTACTTCTTCTCAATTCTTTCTTTCTTTCTCTCTCTCTCTCTAGCTCTCCTCTCTAGCTCTCTCATGCAAACAAGAACATCCCCCTTCTTCTCTTTCTTTCTCTCTCTTTATCTCTCTTTTTGTCGTTTATTACCCCTCTTTGTTGTCACATAAGTCATTATCATTTTAGTACATTACTCTCTCAGACACATTTCTCCTATAAACAAATCTAACTAAATAAGAATAAACGTTGAATAGCACAAAGCAATCAAATCTTAAGATTAATACTTTCGTCTTGATTATGACTGCATTTATTTCTTTGCAATATACAGTAACTGGAATCGTTTTTTTTTGTACAGTTCATTTCACAATTACATGTACAATCATTAAAAATTGATAAATCATAATAATAATAATAATAATAATAATAATAGCCTAATAGTTCACTCAAAATTTTATTAAACCGAAACGGAAATTCTTTTTGCCCAATTGATCGTGAGCCCGGCAGCCACTGAGCAGCGCCAGATCGACGTTGCTCTATCCCTTATTGTTGAACGCCAAACAAGGTTTGGCCGGGATTCGAACCCACGACCTCCCGGTTGTGAGGCGGACGCTCTACTGACTGAGCCAACACTCCGGTGTAATGAATCATGTTTGAATATCAAAATTGCAACATATTTAACTGTAGCCCACACTCATGGCAAAAAATACAACATGGTAGCTCTATAAAGAAGGGGGTACCGGTGTTCTTGGAAAATTCTGAAATGCAAATTCACAAAGCCACTGATTAGGGGGAGGGAGGGTTACAATATAGTTTGAGTACTGCCACAATGGAAGAGGAGCTGAAAAGAAAATCATTAATTATTTATATTTTTTGTGTATGACATACAAAGTTGTCAGCTGCATACGTCCCTGTTGCCTCATAAAATTGCAGATCTGAGATTTACATAGATGTTGTAATCTAACTTTTCAAACATTATTTCTTATTCTATGTCTGATTTCTTTCAAACTTTCACCAGTCTATTACACTCATTTTGTTCTGCTTTAACATAAATCAACTTGTTACAGAGGTTGGATTGCCCTTTGAAATATAAACTATTAGCAATTAATATTAGTCCTACATGCCAAATCCTTCTAAAAACATACAACACTGTAAGTTTATGGGATTAAAACTTCTTACATGCAACTTTCATATGATGGATGACCTTAGTCTGTGCTGTTCTTAGTGAGGAAGGAGGGAGGTTGTCACTGTCAAAATAATAATAACAATATGCTCAACGCGCCTTAACTATTACCCTGGCTCTGCTAGGCAGCCGCTTTCGGTGCTCACAGCAGAGTGGCAAATGTAGATTAATATCTTGCCAAAAGACATTACTGCTGTGGCGGGACTTGAACCATGGATCCTGTGATCCACAGTCCAACGACTTATCCACTAGACCACAAAACCTCTAAATGGAGGCACATTCGGAGTCAGAGTCTCCTGTCAGCGTTGCAGTCCCCGTCCAGTCCACATCCATCTAGCTCATAGTGACTCTTGAACCCACCCTACGCCTTCCGTTATATCAAAGATCTCGTTTCTTGCCACAATTGATCTCTCCATCACGATCCCACCTAACAATAACTTCTGTATTTTTGTCCATCCTAAGAGGTAATTGACAAAAGATTGTTACAATCAAGTTATCAATAACTCTGTTCAATGATAAGTAGAGAGGACATAGTAATTTTATTTCATAAAACAGGAATGAAACCTAGAAACGGGTATTAAATAAAAAGTGGTTTTACTCTGTCCTAAATTGATATTTTGAAATATACAGTAACTATAAATGAAAATCAGAATATGATTTAAGGTCTACTTTTAACAGAAAAAAAAGCGAAGCATGCACCGAGTAGAAAAGCAGATTTGCAATTGTTTTATAAATACTGTTGCACCATTTATTCACTTAGAATGCAATTTGTGACATTGTGGCACTAAATTCCTGGTAGGAAATCAGAGTGGTATAACTCCTATTTAAAAATATGAATGGCTTTCCTGTGTTCAACACTTTTATGTTGGGAGGATTGGTATATTGTTTAAAAAATTGTGACAGCATACTCCATGGTCTGTATGGTACTATTGTATTCCATTTCAATAAAAAAATGTAGCGAACATCTATACAGTATTTATCAACCACTGAAGATGATATGATAGGGTTCCATATGTATTACTGGGTTTGTTGTCAATCATTGAATTGATATGTTCATATCTAAAGAAGATATAAAATCTGCAGGTTATCAGCAAATTTGTGATGAATGTTATAAACCCAGTAAGTAACAATGAATGCACTTGCATGTACTTGTCTGCCAGATTGAAAGAAACTTTATTATATCAACTTTCAGAAAGACCACTCAATAAGGATCAATATTCAAAGTTAGTCAAGAGTATAATATTATACAAATAATGAATGGTTATGAGTTCAATAGTGCGAATATGTTCATGAGTTGAAAGATTAACATTCTATTCAACGAGGCGTCAGCCGAGTTGAATAGAATTAACGTTAATCTTTCAACGAATGAAAATATTTGCACTATTAAACGAATGAAAAACATTCATTATTTGTTTTATACAACATCGAAGAAGACCTAATAGAACGTTAATCAACAAATTATGCTTTACTCCTTATAAAGATAAATTACAGTTCGAGTCAAGCCTTCTCAATTACATGCAGATTGCCTTCGCGTCAGATACACGCAGGGATACGCGCGCGCACATGCAGCAGAGAGATACGCAGTCTGCATATAACCAAAAATGCACGGCGCATATAACCAAAAATGCACGACCGTGCAATATACCATCTATTGAATACCATGTGACCAACAATCGTCCAATCAAATGACAAGGATCCACGTAGGTGTTGTATAACATTCATTATTATTTATGGTGCAATTATCGCATAAAGACACGCGTGATGTAGCAGCGGGTAATAGAAGAGCATATTACCATACGTTTCACATCTGGGTACTTGTACATGATACATGTATAAGTGATACTTGAAATATAAGAAGAGGATAATTGATAATAATAACATTGACTAGCTCACATTTTGGTTGATATGAGACAATATTGCCCTCAACATAACCATATTGCCCTCGTCTTCAACCCGGCCAATATGATTATATTTGGGCAATATAGTTTCATATTCCCATTAAAACCAGTCAAAATTATAAAAATATTTCATATATAAACAATATAAAATGTAACAAATTAGGTTAAAACTTACCTTTGATGACTGAGGGGACTTAGCTATTCAGTCGGTCGGTCTGTCAGTCGTTTGGTCTGACCTCCAAACCGTGGTATTGGAAAAGCAATCAGTTCAAGGGCAGAGGGTGAAGATGCTGGGTTAAAAGGAGAATATATTTGATAACTCATGATGGATGCAGAAAACCCCCAACACAGCTCGTACAGGAAGCTATACTGGGATGATATGATTTTAAAATCGCATCTCTTCAAAAAATTACAGGCATCAGGTTAAAGCATATTATTTTATTTTTTCTGTGATGAAACAACACAAATTAGTGTAACTCTCCTTCTTCACCCCCTTCCCCCTATGAAAAAAAGACAATAAGAAAAATACAAAATATAAGATGAAGCCTGTCATCTTGTACGTTGATACACCATAAGTAGCTCAAACATGACATGTTGGCAAAATGAATGTCTGTCACGCACATTAAAGAGCGAGGAACTTGTGTTTGATGCCTTACAATACCATCAACTGCCTAAAACCTTTCAAAGCAAGATCAGTCATGCGTTTATGAAAAAAAATTGAGTGTTTGGGAACCAGTCATCTTTGGAGGGCCCTCCTAGCAACCCCACCACTTTGCGCACATTAGAAAATTACTTCCCAGCATAGTTTTGTCCATGGATCATTGTTATGTAAATGAAAATAGTTCATTTGTTTGCTAAAGATTGACCCCTCCCCCTCGCCAGCCCAACTCCCAATCTATAACTTTTCTTTTGGTGCTAATTTCCTTACCACACATACCTTGTCAATTTGCTAAAAGCTCTCCACACAGCTGCACAAACTCCTACATGGACATCAACCACTGGGGGTGCTAGTGGTCCCTCATCTCTTGCGTATCCCAGCTGTCTATTCTACTGGTAAACTATGAAAAAATATGAAAAGTATTTGTTTAATTTTTCTGCATTTGTTCAAACAAGCCACTTCATCTCACGGTTGGATATCCCTTTAACTTATTAGCAAGCACATCATTATCTAAAGCAATTAAGAAGACCTTGCATAATTCAGTCTCAGTCTTGCAAACATGGGATGAAACAACCCAAATTAGTGCTAACTCCCCCCCCCCCCCCCCCTCACAACGTGACGGACATGTGCGCTATACCAGAAGCAACTACGGTAGTACTATTATAAGCAACCCCCCCCCCCCCCCAACAAAACAAAAAGCCTGTCATCCTCTAAGTCCAAGGCAAAAGGTACACCTTAAGTAGCTCAACCACAACTTTGGTGGCAAAATGAAATTATCATGCACAATAAAGAGGGAGCAATTTGTAGTGGACGTCTTCCCATACCATCAGCTTTATCTTTGTCTTTAAAGCAAATTAATTAAGAGCAGGCATGCGTTTATGAGCATAAAGCCGAGTGTATAAGAAGCCGCTCCAGCCTATGCTAGGTTGACCCCCCCCCCCCCCCATCCATTAGTACCTCAACAACATGCTAAAAGCTCTCCACGTCAAACTCCTACTTAGACATCAGCCACTGAGCCTGGGAGTGCTAGTGATGGTCCTCTCAGCCGGCTATTCTACTGGTAAAACCGGGAAGAAACATGAAATGTATTTGCTTCATTTTTCTGCATTTGCTGAAATTAAGCCACTTCATCTCAATTCTCATGGTTGGATTTCCCTTTAAATTATTAGCAAGCACAAAATTGTTTATTCATTCAAGCATACCTGGCTTTACTATTCAAGTCTCAGTCTCGTATTTATAACATGAACATGGAAAGAGCTTACGAGGGGGTCATGTAACATTTAAATCTAGTACTAGGAGTACGTAAGTACTTACGTAGTAGATCTAGACTCTAGGCTCGCGCTTGAGCCTAGACTCAACTCCTACGTCGCAATTGCCATTTTATGATTTGGCATTGTCATATCAACATTGACATTGAATTTTAACCAAAATGTGCCCTTGGCTAATTGGGCCTTGCCTTGGAGGCTTGGGCTGGTACTGCTTAATCAGTTAACATAGTTAATGTAAAATTATTATTAATGATATCTCCCCTGCCCTGGCCTGGGCTTCACTCTTCAGCGAATTCGCCTTGCGACTCGTGACATTGTTGTTATTGCATGTAACTGCTCCTGCACTTATACATGTTCAAGCTTATCTAAGATACTGTGTTACTTAATACTTAGTAGCACTCTGTTGATAGTACGTACTACTAGATCTGCATACTAGTAGACCGACAATACAACTCACGCAGAAAACAGTGCGTGGGACTGTAATGACCTATCTCGCCATTTCGTAACTTGATATCCGTTTAGAATATGAGTTTGTTTATACTGCTACAGACGATATTATTGAACGATGCATAACATTGTTTTAAAATAAGTGAAAATAATTACCTAGGGCTGTCAGATTCCTCTAACAATTCCGCCAGAAGCACCGGCATCTGTGACAAAGGCTTCGCGGAGCCAGTTCGTGTACAATATCCACTCTGCTCGTGCTAATGCAATCGCTAATACATTTTCTACTTGACTTGACAATCCTGCCTGCTATGACAAACTGCAGTACCCTGGTAGCTGCTGATCTCCGATAGAGCGGAGGAAGAAGAAGAAGAAGAAGAAGAAGATTATCAATAGCAGACTACATTTGCGCGTAAGAGGCCACTTCGTGAAAACGGTGCTTGCCAGTTGTACTGCTTGTGATACGTTTCGTGACGTCACGTATGACGTAATTAAGCAAGATTAGACTTTGAAAATTACTGAAGTTGTAGACATTTATATACATTGCTCAAAAACGGTCAAAACTCGAAATTAAAAATTTCAACGATTTTGGCCACTGAGGCCACTTCGTGAAAACGGTGACGATACAATATGTCATCTAAATCGTTTGCCTGTAGGTCTGGAGTATCAAAGGTCGATAAATTTAAGATTAGACGTGTTTAAATAATCAAAGGAGATGGTACAGTGAAGGTCAAAAGGAAAAAAAAGTGAAGCAAAAAATTGTTGGAGACACCCGGACTCGAACCAGGGATCTCGAGGTTGGAAGTCAAGTGCGTTACCGATATACCAAAACATCTCCCATAGCGATTACACGTAAACTGGAAATGGAAAAAATGTGTTGTTTTTTTTTGTTGTTTTTTTCAAATAAATTTTTGATGCAGGATATAAAACAAATATACCATGCCTTCTATTCGAGGTACTGGTTAAACTATGGGCCTCTGTGACTCCAAAAGTACCATTTGCTTCGGGGCTGCGCCCCTCAGCAAATAGTACTATTGGAGTCACCTCTTGCGCATAGTTTTAACCAGAACCTCTCAAGGCAGTGTATATTTTGTATAATAATATAGGTTGGAGAACTAAGGAATCGATCAGATCAGGTTTCCCCAATTTGTATCATTAATAATAGTCTCTTTTCACTCAAACTTTTAGATTATCTTTAATTATACATCTAGCATTGAAGTCACCTTAGCGCCAATTTTCTCTCATCTGAACTATGTTACCCAGTCCCTTTAATAACATTAGTGTTTACTTTTGATTTATTTTAATTTGGTTACCACATGCACTTTTATATGGAAAATATGACTTATTTGCCACACTTTCCCTTTAATAGGTGGAGGCTTATTTGCACAATATGCAAACTAAATGTATAATGTTAATATGAATAGCCTATTATGTTAATCATCTATAGTGACCCCCTAAAGCAGTTTAAACACCTAGATTGTTTGATTATAGTACTACTTTATTGGGGGACTGAATTTAATCTCCACTTAATTATTTTCCATTATATCGTAAGCTAATTTGCATATTATGCAAACTATGCCATTTCTATTCATAATATCAATCTAAAGATGGGTTCATCATGTTAAGTGACCCCGATATAGCATCGATTTCTATACTTTTTTTTATTTAAAAAAAAGTATACCAAGTAATCCCATTACCAATGACTGCAGCTTGTATGGCTTTCATGTCGTACGGACATAATCGGTTCAAATTTCCTAATATTAGGCCTACCTTTACTTTTTGTTCCAGTTTTGAATACTGAGTAGGCCTGTGGTGTAATCCATCCAAACTGAAAACGTTGTATCAATAAATTATTTAGACCATTTTTGTGATCAAATTGATTTTTATTTGATTAAAAGCTGATTAAAAGATGACTAACATTTCGGATTAGATGTATAGTTCCTTCTGTTTTTTTTTCTAATTCCTTCTTCTTCTGCTTTTTAAAAATTCTTCTTCTCCTCCTCCTCCTCCTTCCCCTCCTCCTCCTTCTCCTCCTCCTCCTTCTCCTCCTCCTCCTTCTCCTCCTCCTCCTTCTCCTCCTCCTCCTTCTCCTCCTCCTCCTTCTCCTCCTCCTCCTCCTCCTCCTCCTTCTCCTCCTCCTCCTCCTCCTCCTCCTCCTCCTCCTTCTCCTCCTCCTCCTCCTCCTTCTCCTCCTCCTCCTTCTCCTCCTCCTCCTTCTCCTCCTCCTCCTTCTCCTCCTCCTCCTTCTCCTCCTCCTCCTTCTCCTCCTCCTCCTTCTCCTCCTCCTCCTCCTCCTCCTCCTCCTCCTCCTTTTCCTCCTCCTCCTCCTCCTCCTCCTCCTCCTTCTCCTCCTCCTCCTCCTTCTCCTCCTCCTCCTCCTTCTCCTCCTCCTCCTTCTCCTCCTCCTCCTTCTCCTCCTCCTCCTTCTCCTCCTCCTCCTTCTCCTCCTCCTCCTTCTCCTCCTCCTCCTCCTCCTTCTCCTCCTCCTCCTTCTCCTCCTCCTCCTCCTCCTCCTCCTCCTCCTCCTCCTCCTTCTCCTACTCCTCCTCCTCCTCCTCCTCCTCCTCCTCCTTCTCCTCCTCCTCCTCCTCCTCCTCCTCCTTCTCCTCCTCCTCCTCCTCCTCCTCCTCCTCCTCCTCCTCCTCCTCCTCCTTCTCCTCCTCCTCCTCCTCCTCCTCCTCCTCCTCCTCCTCCTCCTCCTCCTTCTCCTCCTCCTCCTTCTCCTCCTCCTCCTCCTCCTCCTCCTCCTCCTCCCAGTATTTTATTTCACATTATCGTCGAATCAAAATGTAAGGGATTATAATCATGAGTGGATAATGTGTCAAAATAACTTTCACTTGCATATTCAAATTTGTGGATGTTTCGTGCCTGGTCACCTACTAGTTATTATAATCTAGCTGCAATGAACTACAATACCTGGAATGCAGTTAATTTGCATACATTATTAATTATTGCTATGTCAGGCAATCCTTGAGTCAGGTTGTCGCAAGAACAACCTTTGTATTGAACAGTTTGCGTAAAATTTGTATGTAAGTAGGGATGTAGCCACACAAAAAACGATCTTTCGAGATCGAATTTTTTACATGTCATCGGGTGAGTCAGCAAATTTCTGCAGTCAAAGCCTTCAAAGCAAGGGTACGGTGCGCTTTCTTTTGTGTGATCGACTGTATGTCATGAATAGTAAAATAATAAACATCACATGCAGACGACAGGCCTAGTTTATGCTTAAAGACTCGATTTCGAAACTTCTTATATTTTATACTGTTTAATTTTAAGTCTTTTATCTAAAATCCCAGAATATGCATACTACAAATAAGGAAACTAAAAATACATAATAAAAATGCAAATAAATATCTATGACGTGCGTAAAGTAAAGTAAACAAAAATCTCCAAACGTTAAAAGTGTCTGGAAGTACGACTACTAATCCTTTTTCCTCTGGCAATTCGGCCATCACGACAACTCGGTCTGCAGGCCTACTCAAAAGTTGAGTCGATCTAAGCATTTCGAGTTTTAACCGCCTCACTCCGTATTCAAGTATTTTCATGTTTTTTTGCATTTAAGAATGAGTGTAAGAACTTGAAGTAATTACGCGTTTTCTTTTTTGAAAATTAAAGCATATGGTTAACATTGGAAACATGCATTGCAATAGCGTCAAGTTATGAAGGCTGATAGGCAGTTCAAGTTCAAAGTTCAAGTTCAAATAAGGTTTTATTCATTACTTGTCAACAAGTCCGAAGACTAAAAATGCAAGTTTACATCAATATAAAAGCATTCAAAAACATAAAGATAACATAGCAAATGAGGACAAATATATAACAATGAATACATTTTTAAGTTAAAACATTAAAGATAAACTCCAGTACTGGTAAAAAAAAAAAAAATTAATTCTCACAGAATCAAACGAAACTTACACTGAATGTTCAAGATTACAAATAAATGACATGTGCCAAACAATTTTGGAAGAAAATGTATACTGGCTGAGTAATGAGCATAGAAAGACAAGGAAACCAAGGTAGTACCATCCCCGACACGATGTGTGTTGTCCCATATATAGCTTTCTATGTGAGTGTTTGTTACTTTACCAAGACTCGGTCAAATTTATTATGATTTTGATGACTCCAGAACCTTGCAGTGCACACCAATACTTACATGCTACATGATCAACTGTTTCTGATCCTTTCACACCTTTTCTTTCACAATGCAATCGCATCACCAGTACTAAAGTTTAGCTTTAAAGTAGTAACAAGAAAACAAAACAACAAAAAAAGATTTTAAAAAAAATACAAGATATGAAATATTGCTAGCAAAAATGAATAAATGTTGACATATATACAATACAAAGACAGTGGGTTCTCATGCATGGGTATTCGAGTGTTTACCCCAGCAATGAAAGGTGTTGCCAATAAGAATGCGTGGGCTTCACTTTTACGACTGACAGGTCTTATGTAAGGCCTAATAAGATGTTGTATTGCCCTTTGCGAGTCGACTGACCCACAAATCTTGAAATCTACGGTCGGCTTTTAAAAGTTTTTGTTTTTTACCGGTTTTTAGAAAGAAAAAAATGTATTAAATCCTTTTAAACTGAGAAATATCAGGCTAAAGAGGGGGTTTAAAAAAATATATAGAAACAACGACCGACCGACCGATGTTTTTGGCACCTAAAGGGCAATATAACATTTTTCTTTAGGCCTTATGCATTGTATCCTGAAATGTGAAGTTATAAAGGGCAAGTGGGGTTATAGGCCCGAATTCACAAAGGAGGTTTGTCGTCAAACCTCCTTTGTGAATTCGGGGCAATAGGTTGGAAGATGCATCTTTTAGAAGTTGAGTAGATATATTCACCGCAGTATAAATTGGCTCGTTTCATAAAAACAGCACACTTCTTAATATATTAAAATGTCTAGAGACAGGATATATGATTATGATAGCGTTAAAAATGAGTACAATTACATTTCAGGAGGCACGTACAGTTCATTAATTCCCATGATATTTCGGTCATTGTGTCATCTGTCCCCGTTTGTTAGAAATAGGGTATACCTATTACTATACAAAGTTGTTCTGATTCTTTTAAAGGTACTATGTCCCATTTGCAGCCAATATCAAATTCTCTAGAACTTTGCAGGAATTATGAATATATCATGTATGTCCTATCTGTGAAATTTAAACGTTAGCAGTGTCCTACCTAATATTCAAATTATGCAGACACTATTTTCCTACTAAAAGACATTTTCTAGCCCTTTTTTCGTTTTGAGGGAAATTAGTATCATCTTCATGAAATGCCATTGGAATTTCTTTTTCATGTTGGGGTCTGTAAATGGGACATGGTACCTCAAGCTAACTTTAGATGGCTGTGAAAGGGCACATTTTTTGAGCGACGATGGGAAATATAGGTAATTGTGATCAACTTTATTTGGCCTTCAAAACGAACACCATCATCAACATTTAGAACTGATCACATTTAAAAAGGAGTGTTCATCGGCCGGGACAAGGGGTACGTACGTGGCAAAGTAAAGGGGCACTTATCAGAGGTTAATTTATTGAAAGAAAAATGGGCACATAAGTACGGAAAGGGCATCCGATTACAAATGAAAAGATGGACTTCCACGTGTAATCTTTCGGCGATTCGCACCAGCAGGGCTAAAAAAACAAAAAACAAAAACGCTAAAAACACTCTAGAATCTTCCACCCCCGAGAGTCGATCGAGTCATCGTTTAAATCGGCATGGTTTATTTAAGCCGAGTTCAATGAGGACGAGATGAGCCGGGGCTATGCAATGCATGTAATGGATATTTTTCTTTGCTAGGCTAGGCCCTCTTTACATTCATTATAGCTAGAGTAGATCGAGCACAAGTACCACCGGCAGAGCTCAGAGCAAGGATTTCTGTGTACTACAGGTAAAGACTTTGCTAGCTATTCGTGAGATTTTGTTGTTTGTTGGTAGAACAAGTGAAGCACTAAGTTAGCCATGCGAGATCGATCTAATTTTAAAGCAGTATTAATGCTCCTTTGCCTTTGCTTCTTCTGCTGCCGAGTTCGTTACCGGCGCCGCGCCGTCGCGCTAGCGCTAGCCGGTAACGGTATGCTACCGGCCCACACGTCCAGCGCAAGATGCATGCCGACTGACTGCTTACTAAGTCGATGGTATCGACACTTAAAATGCTTGACACTTGTCCATGCTAGAGCCTAGACCATTGTATTGGTAACAATTGCCTTTGTTGTTTTGCATGAAAAGTTGGCAAGGTGATCCATTGTTATTGAGTTTTGGCGGTGGTTGGCCATGAAGTTCAAGTTACATGTTTAAACTTTAATGTTGCAATTGTATGAAGAGAACTGAAATAATAAAGAAAGAAAGAGTGACATGACGAGAAGGCAAGTTGGCTCAGTGGGGAAAGTGTCTGCCTGTCAAACTAAAGATCCTGGGTTCGAATCCCACCCAGGCGGATGACTGAAGCCTGTGACGTGTTGTGTGTTAACGTGCCCCTCCCCTTGTTCATAGACACAGGCTATGTTAAGTGGAAAACACTCCGTCCCTCAAATAGGACATTAAATGGAGGCCCTGTGTAGAGAAGAGTCACTACCTTTGCACGTTAAGAACCAACTGCACTATTCGTATAAGAGTGGGGGGAAACCCCGCCACCCCCCCCCCCCCCCCCCCCCCGGTGTAGTGGTCCACCTGCACACACCCCATAGTATGATAATACTCTGTAAAGTCTTAAAGATCGTCAATACTACTGGGCTGAAGGGATTATATACCCCTTGTAAACATGGGTCAGTTTTTTCAAAATTGTGAAAATGGGCTTTACTATGAGAAAGTCCCCCCAAAATAGGTAGGGGTTTTGAGGCTTGAGCGGCACACCCCCATCCAAACCAAATCTGATTATGTCTGAAAACTTGACAAACAGCTCAATTATATTAATCAGTTAAATAGCTGAAATATTAATTTTTAAATTTTGTTGTTGTCGTTTATACCAGGATTGACTTGGGATTGAAGAATGGGTCTACTGTCCGCAGGTACGCCCCTCACCTGGGAAGAGACGAAGAAGTACACTGATCATGTCCGCAAACATGGTATCCAACAATTCATCAACCTCTACTACAAGCTTAAGGACCGCCCTTGTGATACGCTCAAATGGGGAGATGAGGTAAGTTAATCACAGTTTCTATGGTCACAAAGAACAATCTCAACAGAGTCTCAGCTGTCATTTGGTACTTGGTTGGGTAATCCCTTTGGCAGCTCACTCAGGAAGCTATATTCAATAAATATTTTTTTCTTCTATTGATAATCAAAAGCGTGATGTAAATTCTTGATTACGATATATCCATTGGAAATGCATGCAAATGAGCCTGAGGTTAGTTAATACAATTTCATATGGCTCAAGAACTGTGTCACAAGATAGACTGAGCATTTTACTTCATCTTTACCCCCATTTTACTCCCATGTTGGTTATGCATAGCAGAACAATATAGTTTATACTGCATGGTGCCTGTCATTTAAAATAAAAGGTGCATAATTTATAATCTTGGTTTTCATTTCATTCATTCATCATGAATCGCCCACCATCACTACAACAGTTGTGGTAGCTTTAATAGAATGATGAGGGTATCATATAAAATGTTGTTAGACATATGGGTAACTTAAAGGGATAGTTGAGTTTTGGAATAAAGGGCGCTACACAAAATAATTTGTTTGTGAGATAATGAAAAATGAGTGCCAATTTTGAAAGAGCATACAATTTAAATGACCAAATTATCTTTTTTTGATCAAAACCGGTTCAGAGACGGCTGAATTAACAATAAATAAAACCATTTCTAATATTTGATAATTTCAAACCAGCCGTTGAAAAAATGAGATAGCGCCTTAAAAATGTATGTTTTGTTCCAGCCAATTCTAATGTTAGCATTTTGTTGCCTTTTTTTGTGTCGGTTATAATTCGCACAACCAGCCGGCCCATGTATTGTTATCATTATTAAATTATTAAATTAACTGTCACCATATTTTTTTAAAAGTGGTCCTAAATTGGTATAACCGCAATTAATCTAAATTTCATACATTTTGGATGGTAATATAACCGTCATAGCATATTGTAGGGCATAAAAGGGCACTAGATTACTAGAAATGTCATAAATACGAATAAGAGTAATAACCATGCACTTTGTAGGCGTTTGCAGTCTTAAACAAGAACTCAACTGTCCCTTTAAAGGTACTACATGTATGTCCCATTTGCAGGCCAAAAAAATGAAAAAGTTAAATTCCAACGGCATTTGAAAGACAATTCTAATTTAGAACTTTCCTCAAAAACGAAAGGGCTTGAAAATGGCTTTTAGTGGAAAAATAACGACCTTTAGTTGTTGAATCGTCTTAAGTGGTTGCAATCACCTAAGTAATAGTCTGCTTTTCAGACTCTTTTACTGAATGGTTGTACGTTTTGTGCTGCACAAAGATTCAATCAGTCTAATTTTGGCCATTACAAGTAGTGGGTTATTGATGTAGACAAATGCTCATGTACCTGTTACAGCTCATTTTATTTATAATTACCAAAGAAAAGATGCCAGTCAGTCACTCAATAGTGTCTGACAGTGAAGTCTAGAAGGTTAATGGGTTTCCTTGCATAACTATAATACTAGGGCACTGCTTAAGTTTAAATTTCACAGATAGGACATACATGACATATTCATAGTTCCTGCAAAATTTTACACAATTTGATGTTGGCTGCCAAAGGGACATACCGGTAGTATCTTTAAGGCCTGATTTTGTTCGTAGTGTTTCTGACTTTGTTCAAACATACATCAATATTCTATTGTCAATTATTCAATATTAGGGGGGATTATTTGAAAGTTTCAGACAAAAGGTTTATGGGTTACATACATGTACATGTACCTCTAGGTATTTACAGTGGGATATAAACTAGGGTTTGAATATTGTTTAACTTGTTTTCTTGGTTGTTATTCAGCAAATGAATGTACATCTTTTACCCGGTTATTAGTTTCTGGTGTCAATTTGAATGATAGAGGTATCTTTAATTGTTTGCAGATTGAATACATTGTGGTAAAGCAAGACCATGAGAACAAGAAAGCTAGAGTGTTCTTAGTAGCTGATCGTCTTCTTCCTGTTCTACAAGAGCTTGAAAAGAGTCAACCAAGGTAAGCCTTCACATACCTCACCTACATGTATGTGATCAAACAAAGAAGAGAGAGCTTCATATTTACTGGAGTATGAATTATTGCTATTGTATTGAAAGAAGTAGACAGGCATGATGTTACTTCTCAGTCTAAACTAGATTTTTGTTCTTTCTTAAGTTTCTTTATACTCTTATATACCCACTGTAGAATTCACTTGAATTACTTTTTAGTGACATTGATCAGTTATTACCTGTGTATTTATTGAGTCTCCCATCCTTTGAAGTGTGAAGCCATGCTTCTTTAGTTCACATTTTCCATGCTCTCTGCACATGTGACCGAATTCCCAATCCTTTGTCCCATATCAATCCTCCAGTTTGGGTTTGACAGCCTGTGGGGACTAGACTGGCCTAATAGACTGGCAGAGGTAGGCTCTACTCAAGACATTACGTTACGGAAATGCATATAATTTTCAAATTAGAGTCTGTAACTGTATACCTTAGTTAATAGATATAAAATGTATAAAAACTACTTTTTTGAAAAGTTGTTTGTTTGTTTTTTGGTTGATGTTTTACCAATGTTTTGATTTTGTCCCCCCCCCCCCCCCCCCCCCCCCTTACAGCGAGACAAAGACCACATGGGCACCTGAATATGCCAGTTACATGGTTGAGGGGGTACCAGGCAAGCCATATGGGGGTCTCATGGCCCATTTCAATACTGTAGAAGCCAACATGAAACTCAGGTAAGAGTTATTTATAAAATAGTGCTGTAGAAGGACAGGGAATGCAATTAGCAAGTCAATCAAAATATTGCACAGTATATGCATTATATTTGTGATAATGTTAATACAGACGTTAAAGTTCTTACGTTTATGTATTTCAAGGTTAACGTGAGTTCTAGTAATGACAAAAATCATCGTAAATCATAAAATCAAAGCAAGCCAACTATGGATTGGTGAAGGTACATGTGTACTATTTAACATTTTGCAATTTTGTGAGTTGATAAAGTGGTCAAATCGTTCATTATTATAACATACTGTAGAATGTAGGGAAATAACAACCATGAAAGTTATTTATCCTTCTTCTATTTCTTACAGACGACAACAAGTATTGAGCTTACTAGATGTTGAGCAAGGAGAAACATGCCTTAGTATGACTGTCTTTCCAAGGTAAGAATGACTTGGCATTCATTTTGATAATACGCATTTACATTTTTGTACACAAATTTTCTTTTCCTTTGTTTGATTCGGGTCACATAAGGCAGGGTAGATGCACTAATTGTATTGTGAAATATCTGTGTTTACATGGTCCGAACTCCAAAGTATATGTACATCTTGTGTGCTTTCCTCTCAATTTTATTTACTCATGTAAAGATTGGGACATGAGGAGTTTTGAAGATCAACAGAGACATAGATTAAATGGCAATGATATTTTGCTTATCTTTGTGATAGTCTTACGCATCTAGGGCATCAAGTTTTATCCAAGAAGGCAGTATAAAGAGGAAGAGATTTTAATTTTGTTTAAAGCATTAAAAAACATATATTCTGTATATACCTGTTTCATGTATATCTGCTGTAACCTCACAAGCTTCTTTCCAAAAGTAATGTGATATCTTATTACAATGAAACCTTCTGTAAAGGGTCTTTTTCGGGTGTCTCAGTGACGAAATACCCCCCCCCCCCCTTTTCCCCCTCACTTCCACTAAAATCTCCTGTAATAATTATGAATGATGATGATGATGATGATGCTGGTGTACATGATTTATGGTGGTGGTGTCTATGATGTTAAAGGCTAAGTCCACTCCAAAAATAATGTGCTTATAATAGATGCAGAAAAACGAGAGAAACAGAGCAAACAAATATTGAATAAAATCAGATGACTAATAAGTAAGTTATGAATTCTTGAAAAGTATGAAAAACTATGGAACTTAGAAAATCACTACACAAATTGCCAATTCGGTTATCAGTTTGTGACGTCATGTCCTCACTATTTATCAATTGCTCTAAAATGGTTTAATCCCATTAATTTCCCTTTTTATCCCCCAAAACTTGATTTCCTCATACCTTTCCCCAGGTTATATAATTTTTATCATATTGTATGCATGACATTTCACAAAATCTTTTATGAACTTTCAAGAATTGATACTATTTTCTGAGTATTGGATATTCATAATTATTGATTTTTATATAAATAGTTTATCAAAGTTCACATTTTTCATGATTTAACTGAAAGAAATTACTTTATATTAGTGCATCCACACAAAAACATATTACTATCAATATCAATATCAATATACATGTGTAACTTAGATTCTGGTGTGAGGAAATAAGATTATAAGGGGGTAATTGGGAAATTTGTATTATCAATATCAAGAAAACAATTACGGTAGTGGATAGTGAGGCAATGACGTCACAGACTCATGACTGAGTTGCCAATTTGTCTGGTGATTTTCAAACTTTTTTTATGTCATTCAAAATTCATAACTTCTTATTAGTTACCCGATTTTGCTCAAACTTTTTATGATTGGTTTGTCTGATTTCTCTGCTTCTGTTGAAAGGAATTTATTTTTGGAGTGGCCTTGCCCTGTAAGTACCCTGGTAATTGTAGTAACCTTTTAATCCTAACTATTGATTATGATACCCTAGACATTCCATTCAATTGCTATTCTGCACACATACATGTGTGTACATGCAGTGAACAAGTACCCTCTGTACTCTAGTTGAGACCATGACAGCCATTTGCATACTATGCCATTCACAAAAAAATTGTTTACTCAATTGCTTTGTGACAAGTTTGCATTTGGGATCTGATAGCGTGTTTGGTGGGTAGCAAACATTCATTCCAAGTTTCTCAAATGGCTTACACAACAAATTTATTTTTAACTTCGTAGAGGTTCTATTTAGATTGTTTTTTTTTTTTTTTTTTTTTGTTATTCTTTTATTACATATATATTTTATTGATAAACACACATAAAGAATTTCCTTATTTTGGGGAAATTTATTTTAGATGTAACAAAAATACATAGAGCTGTGATTTTAGTTTTTTTTAATACAAATGTTTTGCAGATTTACCGAACACCGACTGCACTCAGCACTAGCTGAATGTATATAACAAACTGAATACAAATTTTATCAATGGCTTCCACCTTAGAAAGGTCAAGGTTTATGAGCAAATAATTGTATTGAATGTATACACCATGTTGGCCATCAAAGAGCTTGCATACTCTCTACATTTATGCAAGTGCCAAAAGGGTACACACTGTACAAAACATACATGTGAAAGAGGAATGCTTGCACCTGTTATATAGACTTGTTATATCTCCATCATGACATATCCAACTGTCTGACATCCATTTGGGGGAGGGAAATTAATTTGGAGGTGTAGATAGAGGCAGGGGCTAGCTAGGAAATTTGAGAGATACAGACAGATGTATATATAGACAATTGAGGGTATTTGGAAGAGATGAGAGGAATGAAAGAAAGAGAGCAGGAGATATAGATGAGGGAGGAGATTGGGAGAGAGGGAAAGAAGGAGATGGGCAATAGAGAGAGGGGACAATATGGAAGAAAGAGAGACAAAGAGATAGCGAGGGGTAGAGATAGAGAGGGTGAGTGGTAATAGGGAGACATTTTAAGAGAGAAAGAGAAGGAGAGAGAGAGAGAGAGATAAAGAGAAGGAGAGAGATGGAAAGAGAGAGAGAAAGAGATTAGAAATATACAGAATCTGGAGGAGAAAGGAAGATAGGTAAAAAATAGGGATAGTTAGAGATACAGATGCATTAACCCCTATGTACATGTAGCCTGGGCTATTTTGAAACTGCAAAGCCTGAGGGGGGGGGGGGGGGGCTTCTAAGGCCCTCTTGATCTCGAACGTTAAACGGCTAATGGCCGTGAAAATTTGCATGTATGTCAAGTGGAGTGTGTAAAAATACTATTATATGGTAATTTCAATTTTTTGAAAACTTCACTCATTTGCATATTTATGGTAATTTATGCAATTAAGGTCATAAAACTCACATTTTTACCCATAAATCATATATTCTTCATATTTAAATATTTGTTTTCACTACATACAATGTATATTCTTCAAACCATTTGAAATAATAATACCCCCAAAAAATTGAATTAGCCAGGTTATTTCTTATGTTTTCTATTGTTTTGATAATTTGTTATGTATTTCTTTGTTTTTTTAAGTAATTATTTTAATGTTTTTGTTGTTTTATTTCATTTCTAATTATACTCTTAGGCTTGGTTGTCCAGACTTCTCTGTACCTAAATATACTCCAAACCCAACTGATGAGGGTGTCACCAAGTCTATTTTTCTTCCAGATGAAATCATTCATAACTCACATCCAAGGTTCAGGTTTGTGTCTTAAGATCAATAGTGTATTGGTTTCCAACCTTAAAACAAGGGGAGTGTTTCACAAAGACTAAGATCGACTTTTTGTTGGACTTTACTATGGCAGGCCATTCATGCCACTGGTTGCTCTCACCATTATGATCTTTAGATAACATATTTTCCTTCAATAATGAACTATCAAAACATGTAAATTCTGTAGATTTGTGACCTTGATTTGTAAGTCCCTTGAGAGACCAATGCCAGTAAATGGTGAGAGAAAACAGTGGCATGAACGACCTACCATAGTTAAGTCCAACCTAATGTCTATCTTAGTCTTTGTGAAACAGCTCCCTGGTCTTGTGACTTTGTTGTCTGGCTAGCTAACTTCAACATTTTCTCACCAGCTGCTGAACAGGCCTGGTAACTCATCAAAGCACACAGATAATTTTATGATAAACATGTTGATGCCAACAGATGTCAGTTCTTTTCCTTAGAGGGTATTGATTCATTATAATACAATTCATATTACAGTACTCAAGGCAGACATGCTCTTAATTTTTATATATTTTGAAAAGGTACTCTTGTGTGTATTGAAATAATATGATAACATGGGTTAATGTATTTATGTTGTGTTTAGCTTTACCTTCAGCCAAGTGAGTCGCGACTGGTTTGGGTTCCAAGCTACAGCACTACTTGTACTTATGATGTTATGAATGAAACAATTAATAAATTATTATCCACTAGGACCACTAAAACCACTAAAACAGATGAAATTATATGGTTTAAAATCAACATGAAGAACTAAATTAGAAGGTTAAGTGACTTATTTCCACTTTGGTCTATATAACTATATACACAAAATTTGAGCAATTTCTTATACATCTTCTACTGGCTGTATTATGCGAGTCATATGTTTAGCCATACTTAGCATATAGAGGGTGATTACGTGTAAATTCTGGTGTAATTATGATGTAAAGTGTGATTGTAAAAAAAACTACACTTATCAATTCTAGGACATTGACCAAGAACATCAGGAAAAGGAAAGGAGAGAAGGTGGCCATCAATGTACCAAGTAAGTTTACATAACCTGTATGTCTACTGGGAAAATGTTACAATAGACAGTGCTACAATGGCAGACAGTTATTTCATGAGTTTATTCCCAGTTATGTGAATTATGAGGTTCAATAGAAATCCAAATTACCCCCTGATAAATTTGCCAATTGGCAATCGTATTGTAAAAAGGTATATTCACCAAAAAAAAACTAAATTCAAAAATCAAAAAATTTTAACTGTGTTTGTTTCATCTAAAAAAAAGCTATAAAGCTTTTACAGGCCTGATAATTACCTGATTTAAATCAGTTTCTCGATCTTTTTATTTTGTTCCTGATTTTTTTTCTTTCTATTTTCTTCTTCCCTATTTTATCCTGATTTTCCTAATTTTTCCTGATTTTTTCCCAATTTTCTTACTCAAAAGGGGAGGGGGAACATTGTTAGATGCCATTTCCCCCCCCCCCCCCCCCCCGAATCCTTTTTTTTTTCAGTGCTCACTTTCACCCCTGCTTTTATCATCTTAGAATTAATTTTCATAATCAAACTTTTAGGAATCTGAATTTTCCAATGACATCACCAGCAAGATGTGAATTTTTTCATGAGTTACAGTATGTGCATTATAATGTTTTTCTACATGAACTCTGCATCTTGACAATATCTATTTTGTTTAATCCATGAACTTATTTGATCTTTTGATGTAGTTTTCAAAGATACCAACACTCCAAGCCCTTTTATAGAGAAGTTTGACAATGACTACGATGGTGAGTCCGCAAGGGCTGCTAAACCAGACCATATCTACATGGATTGTATGGGATTCGGTATGGGTAACTGCTGCCTCCAGACCACCTTCCAAGCTTGTAACATCACCGAAGGAAGGGCACTCTATGATCAGCTTACACCGCTTACACCAATACTGGTAAGTTGAGCATCGATGTGGCAAGTCGTACATCCATACTAATCTGTCATATACCAATACATATCAGTATGTCTTCCACCAATTAATCTGTCATATACACATCTTCACCAACACTACCTTTTAAGCGTTCTTATTATTAGTTAATCTTTTAGTCATACGCTAATGGGACGGACACAGATATCAGACAATTTTCCACCCATCCATGGACTTGTCTGTGAAATACTCATACAAATCAGTATTACGCTGTGATAATCCAAAGTTTTAATTGTTCAAACTTTGGTATCAAGAGATGCCTTTTTTGTGTAAAATCAAGCAGGGAAAAGAACTTATATTGAAGCAACATAGAACTGCATTGAGAAGATAAAATTTGTTTGTATACTCAACATATCAACATTTCAAGTAAAGTCAGTTTGGTGTGGAGTACATGTATGTATGATTGAAATCCTCTCTGTCTTTTATGTCAGATGGCTCTGAGTGGAGCTTCTCCAGTGTTCCGTGGGTATCTCTCTGATGTAGACTGTCGATGGGACATCATCTCAGGCTCGGTAGATGATAGGACGCGAGAGGAGAGGGGTCTTGAGGTATGTCATTATACAGCGAAACCTGTCTATAAAGATCACCCAAGGGAGACAAGAAAGTTGTCTTTATAGGCAGGTGGTCTTTATGTACAGGTTCCTTTTGTACATGTTTCTATGAGAAACCATATTCAGGGGAAACAAAAAATGTAGTCTTTGTAGACAGGTGGTCACCAAAGCAGGTTTGACTTTACCATTCAGTAGGTAAAAGAAACCTATGAAAATTTAAGAAGCTAAAAGGATAAATTATAAGATAAGAATTATGAGCGAATTCAAGTCTCTTATGACTGCAATAAGTGTGTGCATATTGTTGGTGCTTTTCAGTGGTTGCAGTTTTCTGCAAGGTTGTAAATCTGTTTACGCTTTACTCTTATAAACAACCCTATGTAACAGTCCTTATTTACTACACAATCAAGAATTCAGAGTGGCATATACATGTAGGAAGCTTTCAACAATATGCAGTTTGTTTACTAAAACTCAGGACTGATACTGAATAAATCAGTCAGCTATTGATCATGATGTTACAATGTGCACAGTGAATTCAAGTTCATCTGAAATACAGGCCAAAGAAAACTAGTCAAAACTGAGAACAAATAGTTTTGTAATTACCCAACTGCTAGGAGAGCAAGAACATGTATGCGCTCATGAATAAGCAATAAGGGGAACTACAGCTTGATGTCTTGTCCAAGGGACTTGGTTATTAAGGATGAAATTTCCAAGGGTTTCTAATGTAAAATCTAGAAGAGGATATGAGAGCATTTGGCCTAGCCCACATAGATGCTGAAGACAGGAAGGCGTGGAGAACGGCATAAGGGAAATGTTAACTCTGACCACGCAACGGGGGGGGGGGGGGGGGGGGGGGGGGAGATGCAAAGACATTGATCTACATTTGCTTCACTCAATCCAGGTGATGTTAATGGGTACCTGGCAGGAATTAATTTCTTGAAATGCTGGAGCGCTGTAGTGGCAGCTAGGCGAAAACTGGGGTAATAATAATAAAATTTCTAGATAGACGGGGCTATAGAAATGCCTATAATTATATAATATTGACTGGCCTTGAGGGGTATATCAGAAATATTGACCAAGCTCAGATCATATTGCCCCGAGTCGAAAGACGAGGGCAATATGGTCTTAGCGCGGTCAATATTTCTGATATCCCCCCGAAAGTAAAGCCAGTCAATATTTTTATTGTTATCCAAATCAGACATCTAGAGCAAATACAGACATCCACCATGACAATCTCAAGAACTGAACAAACTTTGTCAAACCAGCACTGTGCATCCAGTGCTTGACACAATTTCGATACACTGCAAACAGTGTGCATTTGGTGTGATTATTACGTCACAATAGAGTGCGCGCAAAGTGCACAGGTTCTCGCACGCATAATAGATGCGCAATGAAAATGACAAAATACGGCGCAGTCAATACAAGATGAGACCGTGTAAAATACCAAGGTATATTTTCACTCGTCTCTACACGCAAAGTCAATACGCGCAGGGAGACCAAGGAAAATACAAAGAATATACCTCTCCATTCCCACTGCTAGTGAAAACTAGGGCAATACGGTTTTGTAAATGACCAGCTCAGATGTCTGATACGGGTAATAATTATTATTATTAATAAATGCTGATAAGGATGATGAACCGCATGGTAACGACTGTGCTGAGTGGTTCCACTGAGCTACATGTATCACTCCTCCCCCTCTTTTTGTTTTAGGAGCTGAAAGAGAATCGTTTCCGGATCCCCAAGTCACGGTACAGCACGGTGGACTGCTACCTCTCACCAGCAGGAGATAGATACAATGATACTGATCTGGTTATAGATGAAGATCTATGTCAAGACATGATCAATGCTGGTATGTGGAATGAACAAATCTAGAGAAAATGACATTCAGTTTACCCCATGCTCTCTCTTCTCTCTCCTCTCTCTCTCTCTCTCTCTCTCTCTCTCTCTCTCTCTCTCTATATATATATTTATCTCTCTCTCTGTAATAAAATATGATTTAACCAAACCAAGTTGTTCAACTGTTGTTCAATCACTACACGTTTACCCTGCTGGATGTGTAATCTGATGTATACAGTGTTATGATTGACTGTTCTTCTTCTGAAAAGTAAACTAAGATTCTCAAATGTGATGGAGTACAATTTTATCAAGATAAACAGTAAAAAAAAGTTACAATACTGTGTAATGTGAAATATCATTTACTACTAATTGTTATTAACATGATGGTATAAGGAAGTCACAGTTTTGGGAAAAGGTTATGGTATTTATTTATAATTTATTACCATGGTTTGCGAGGTTTAGATCAAGTGGTGCTCCAGTTTTTCGAAGTGTTGCTATTTGTAAGCCACTGATATTGTCAGCATTTTTCTACATAACGCCTGTTGTCAACAGCACCTTTTCATGTAGGAATTGATAAAAGGTTGGCCCAACTAGCACAAAGTAGCATATCTTGTCATCATATGTATTCTCTTACTCTGTGATAGGTATTGATAGACAGCTAGCCAGACACGTAGCACATCTGTTCATCAGGGATCCGGTATCACTCTTCGGTGAGAGGATAAATCAGGATGATGCAAATGACTCCGATCATTTTGAGGTAAGAATCGGCATGATCAGATTGATTGATTTCCTTGATTAATTTGTCGAGAACAAGATTTTCGTTAAGACTTCCTTTTCATTGTCACAGTCTTTTGATAAAATGTGTCTCTAAAAACTTTGACATGTCAATGTGCACATAAACATTCCCAGTTGTCAATGAAAATGATTTTGCATCTGCCATGTGTTGCTAATTTTGAGCTTATTGTCCAACAAAAGTTCCAAGCAGCAGTTATGAGTGCTATAACTAAAATGGATAGACACGTTGTGGAATGTTTTTTGCTGTTTCTTCTTATATATGTTTTTGTGGCTTTCATAGGCCATTGCACAATATTTCACAGTATCTCTGTTGAGTTGACCCACTGCTTAAAGCAGATTTGCACTATTTATAGCTACTTGCCCCTCTATAATAATAATAATAATATTTAATTTTTATATAGCGCTTAATACAAATGTCTCTAAGCGCTTTACAAATATACTATTACTTATGTTGATTGAGAGCTGATTTGATGAGATAACCACCTGTCAGTGACCATGCAGGGAGGTCTAATCCCTCCTGGCCAAACTAGTGCAGATAGGCTTTAAGAGAACCAAACAGTTATTGTATTAAGTCTAGGTGTTGACACTATATAATGTGTGTAATTTTGTGTAAACCTTGACAGAACATCCAGTCTACTAACTGGCAGTCGATGAGATTCAAACCACCACCTGTCAACTCTAAGATTGGATGGAGAGTAGAGTTCAGACCTATTGAAGTAAGTGTACCAGTAGTCAAGCATTGTTACACCTGTTTCCTTTGCTGGTTCTGGTAGGCACCCATTCAGGGGGGTGTTTCTCAAAGATTAAGATCGACTTTAAGTTGAACTTAACTATGGCAGGCCGTTCATGCCTTATAGTTCCTATAACCATTCCTTGCATTGGTTTCTCAAGGGACATATAAATTGTTTTCACAAATCTAAAGAATTTTAATTTTTTTTGATGGCTCGTTATTGAAGGAAAAAATAGTATCTAAAGATCATAATTGAGAGACCAATAGTGAGAGCAACCAGTGGCATGAACGGCCTGCCATAGTTTAGTCCAACTTAAAGTCGATCTTGGTCTTTTTGAAACACTCCCCAGGGATATATCTTGGCTGAAGATTGGATGGTGCGCTGGATGTGACCCGGTAGAGAAAGTCTTGTCCGTATGTAATGGACTGGGCCTGGTCTCCATAATATCTAATACCTGAAAGTATAAACACCAAGAATGCCACCAGCGATACCAAAATGATATCTGTCCTTCTCACAAACATGATGAGGAGGTGCACATGAAAAAGAAAAAAACAATAAGCCACAAAATACAGTAATTTGAAGCATTAGTGGGCTGGTTGCAGCTAAGCACGAGTATTTCATTATTACATTTATTTCCACAGACTATATATCAACTTTTATATCCTAAAGTATATATATGTTTGTTGTTTTGTTTTGCTGGGTTTTTTTTTTTTCATTTACCCCTTCAAGGTTTTGAGTTTTCCACTGGGCGACATTTTCCATTAAAAGATAGTAATGATAATAAAGCCCATTTCCATATATTGGATGAGACTATTATCAACATAATTTCATCTAATTGTGTGAATTAAATCTTGCAACTGTCTTCAAAGAAACAATGGGTGCCAATAATCTACAAGATATGTTTCCTTAACACTTTGACGAGTGTGGAATGTTTGCATAATAAACATTTTAAAGTCATTCCTTTCTTTTATCTCTTGTAGGTGCAATTAACAGACTTTGAGAATGCAGCGTACGTTGTATTCCTGGTTCTCTTGACCCGTGCCATCCTGACCTTTAACATCAACTTTCTCATCCCGATCTCAAAGGTAATTCAATTCAGTTTTTTCATTTCAGTTCATCTATTTTCCATCCATTGAAATATATACATATGACATTATAAAGTACAATATAGGAAAATGGAATTTGAGGTCGGTGCGATAAAAACCCTGAGAAACTTTGTTGTGGCACCAACCAATTTACTCTAAAATTAAAACCAAACAATCTAAAAGACAGATTTCAAAGAGACACATGAACAAAGATATGGCAAAAGATGTTTCTTTTTCATATTAGGGCCCTGCAATCATATTATTCCCTTGGCTTTAGTTGAAGCTTATGTTTAAATATGTTTAACCCTAATGAGGCAGGACTATTGTTGGCGATATGAAGATGAAATTGGTACTCTCTCTCACAAATGACTGATGTGATGACAGCCAATGCAGACTCGTAACTAAAATAAAATGGATATTTATCCAAAGACTTTTCACAATAGGCTTTTTCAAATGGGCTTTTGAGTAGAGTACCTGGAGGAATTTTGGATATATAATACCCTTGCATGTAGTGCTGTAAGTCAGACGCTATGTTCGTGTTCGGTTCGGTTCGGCAGAGTTCGGCAATTTTCACCCGAACTTGGTTTGGTTCGGGGTTCGGTAATATAATAGCAAGCAGCGTTATAGCCACAGCGGTCGGCACTGGGCGGGCCGGCCGGACGGGCCCGACCAGCACGACAGACTTCTGCCCACTCCCGCTGAAAAACACTGCTTCCGACCAGCACGAATTTCACATTAAAAAACTGCTCCAAACTTAATTATTTGTGAAGAAAAGTACTACTTACATTCGTATTTCCGTCTTGAATCGTGTTTTATTTGCAATTTTAAAAGAATCATGTTTTCAATTTGTCAATAAATGATATTTTAAAAAGATTTTCCTAGACTGTTGTTGTCTAATGTTAGAGTCATTAAAGCTGCCATCTTGAATAGCGACTCAGGCTCGTCAAATACTGTTTTTTATAAGTGTTTATTTTCAATAGGAAAAATATAAAATCCCTATTTTTCCTGAATAAATAAATATCATACTATGATATATATTTATTTCATTATTTATATTGTAAAATTTGTCCGATATTGTTACAATTATTTTTTTATTTTTTTGTTGTTGAATGGGTTTGAACTAAACTTGTTTTGATCAGCGCCTAGATCATGCACATGTATTCCAGATTCTTGTTTATGGCTTGCGATCGCGACTTAGGAGAGGTCAGGATTTGGGATTTAAATGGCGCCAGTGAAGTCGCGCCCACCACTGGATAGGCATAAATCACAAAGGCGGAAAATGGGAAAAAAAGTAAATATAAATTGAGCAATTATGACATGAAAATTAGGTACAAAATGACAAGTTTATTATGTTTGCGAAAACGTTTACATTTTTCTGCCGAACATCAGAACCAGGCTTTTGCGTTCGGTTCGGTTGGGATGTGCCATGTTCGGCGAACTTCCGTTCAGTTCGGCGGTTTGGCTACAGCACTACTTGCATGCCTAAATCTGTCTCTGTATTAACTGTGAATAATCGTTTACTCTGTCCTTTGCAGGTGGATGAAAACATGGAGAAAGCACAGAAGAGAGATGCAGTACTCAACCAACAGTTCTACTTCAGGAAAGATATTCATTCATGTAAGAGGATACTTTCTACAAAAAAAAATTAATTAAAATGAAAAAAATTGTGAGAAGCATGAATCAGCTAATGCTCTTATCTCATTTGAAATAATGGGGAAAAATATATATGTGACTTTGCAGTATAATTTCAGACATAATTCACAATTTATATTAATAGACATCACTTTTTCTAATGTATTTCATTTGTGAACTCAGAGGAACTAAACAGAAAAGATGGACATGAGCATGGTCTATGATATCGGTAGAACAGGTTACTGAGATTTTCATGTGATGTTTTTTTTTTCTCCATGTTTCCTCATGAGCCAAATAGTTGATTAATATGTTGTGTATTGTAGTATCTCTGTGGATGCAGTCCATCATGGATACATTGGTTGATGCCATGTCAGTCAAGCATTTGGCAAGTTTGGGGATTGTTACTAAAGAGCAAGATTTGTCAAGGAAGAATGGTTTAGTGAAATTATATAAAAACTAGCCTGGTTGTCTGGCTTGAGAACACCAAGACAGGCATTCTCAAGAGTTGAACTGTCTTTGCATGACCCTTCTCTTTGTTAAATCACCAGTCAACGACACTGAGCTGCAGACAGACATCGGCAACTGCAGGGATGCTGAGTACTATGGCAGCATGAGCATCGACACGATCATTAATGGAGGCCCAATGCCTGGATGTGAGGAGGCACGATTCCCTGGTCTGATCCCATTGGTTTATCAGTACATCAATACGGTGGAAGGGGTAGACGTGGACACCAGGTGTACTATATCACATTACCTGAAGCTCATCTCAGACAGAGCTGCAGGTAAGCCTCGGGCTTTATCGTATCCGGACACATACCCCCTGGACAACTACCCCCTGGACAACTAACCCCTGGACAACTACCCCCCAGACAACTACCCCTTAGGATAGTTGTCCCGAGGGTTGTTGTCCTAGAGGATGGTTGTCGTAGGGGGTATTTGTCCGGGGGTAGTTATCCTAGGGGGTAATTGTCTGGGGGGTAGTTGTCCTGGGGGGTAGTTGACCTAGAGAGTGGTTGCCCTAGAGGGTAGTTGTCCTAGGGAGTAGTTGTCCTAGGGGGTAGTTGACTGGGGTGGTTATCTGGGGGTGGATGTCCAGGGAGTAGGTGTCCTAGAACCTCTTTTTATACAATGTGGAAAGGGGGAACTGCATGTGTGAATAGTAGTCTCTCTCTCTCTCTCTCTCTGGGTGACACATCTTTTGGATTTGTTGATTGATGATGCTATTCCACATCTCTATGTTTCACCCCTTCTCTATCAGGACCACTTTGTGATCTATCACCCCTCTTTCCTTAATACACCTCTGCATACCATCCATGGTTCTCTTCTCCATATACAATGTTTTTCTCTTTCCCTTGATCTTTTCTGAGCAGCTGGAAGTTGGTATAGTTTTGAACAGAGACATACTGAAGATTTGTTTTATTGAAAATGAATAACATAATAGAAAAATATGGCCCAGCCAATCATATTTAATGTTGAACAAGAAAAAATAGTGTACACATATAAAAGCTGTTTGTGGTTGCAGTAAGTGAGTATAGAATGGGCACAAGCATGCGTGTACCTCTTAATTTGAAGACCAAGGTAATGTGTGAAGTGCTGGGACTCCCCTGGGAGACATTGTAAATGTATTATTCGTTATATAAATTTGCATTGTGAGACCCATATGCTAATACCCTTAATCTGTTATACCTTGTTAATTGTCTAGTTGATGCTTTTGTAAAAAGATAACTTTAATTAACTTCTAGTCAAGTCTTGATATGAATTTATGTTTTCCCTTTTATGTTCTGTCGTCCATTTTAGGGTGGTTCATGTCTTGCAATGTGAAATTTATAAATCTCTTCTCTTTTTTTGGGGGTGGATGTTGGTCCCCTATAATTAAACATCAGAGGACATAATTATTGCTTTATATCTTTCAGGTCGACTGAAGACCACAGCCCGATGGATCCGTGATTTCATCCACACTCACCCCGACTACAAACATGACTCGGTCGTCTCTGACCTTATCAACTATGACCTGATTAAAGAATGTGACCTCATCACGAGGGGCAAGGTCGAAGCCCCAGATCTCTTTCACACGCAGACATCAAGATCAAGCGACGATATCCCCGAATCCATACAGATTGTTGAAACACAAATAGACACTAACTGATCGACCTATCAAGGACCTGCGTATCTTCCTTTCGTTAAACTTTTATACAAATTATATGTAATGATAGATATATGATTAAATATAGAATATATATGTGTATGTGTGTATATTTTGTTTTATATTCATGACATATCCATAGGGTGAACTTGCATTTACCATTAATCATGATCAACTCAATTGGGGTGTATTATTTCTAATCCTGTACTTTGAGTACAGATTAAGAAAGATTTTATTATGATTATTATTACTTTATATTATCATGTGGAGAGTGATCTCCTGTGTTTCTCTAACTAATCTCCTCTCCCCCCCCCCCCCTACTCAGTAATATTTAGGGTACATGTATGCATGTTCCCTCTTTTTTAAATCACTCCACTATCTCCAGTGTGAAAGTCGATGGCAGGCCGGACTTTGTCGCACAAAAAAGTATCGGTACCCCTTTACCGGAGATTTTGGGAACATGCATGCAGTCCCTTTGACCCTGGAGTGGGGGGGGGGGGCACTAATCTAGAGTCTGCAATATATGTTTAAAGGCCAATCATACTAGTAAAGTGGGGTCTTTGTCTGCCTTTGTATTGCAAGTAAAACTTGTTCATAATCTAATACCTAAGATGTGTGAAGACACCATTTTGATAGACTAGCTGTGTGGATTCCATTTTAACATTCAGCTAATCATTATGGCTACTCACAACAAATGTCATGTCTAACGCTTTTTGAAGAAATATGAGATGGTTATACATGTACATGTATGTTTTGGTCAGCTCACTATTTCAAAGGTCAACAAGGGCAGTGTTTATTTAGACGTTTTGTTACTGTTAGCACATTATTTAGAACAATTTCTACAGGTTTCTTACTTATTTTCCTTTAAAAATCACCCTGTATGTGCATTGCCATAGAGATAATTTAAATTTGTTTCGTCAAGATTCACCACTTCACTCGAAATCAATTGTGATGATTCTGTTTCATTTTTTTGTAGAATTCATTGTCCAACTATTTGTTGATTTTGTGTGCATGACCACAGTAATTTGAATGGATGTAAAGGTAATTTGATCAATGGGCTGAGTTAATTATCCATACAAAAATGTATTTTCATTCCATGCCACCCTGCAATATTCACGCAGCTGTGTATCTGATCATGAACGGTTGTACAACAGCAAATTGAATTTTTTAGTGGTATAAATAGGATAGTTTTATGGAAATGAGGTATTTTGATTATCATAGCGAAGAGCATATTCATGGTAATTGTTTTAGGCTTGGTATGTGGTTGTCTAATGATATTTTAATGGATTGAAATGGGTTATAACAAAATATTGCACAAAATGTTGCAAAATTATTTACTTTACTTGTATCAAAGAGAACTGTTGCTGAGCTAGCGCCATGAGCGTCCCTGGACGATGTGTGCGCTCTATAAGTTTACACTATTATTATTATTATTATTTAGGATCATTTGGATGACAAGGGCAGAGGTCAAATACAACATATATATAGTAGAAATGTTATTTGGGGAATAGTTATTGGTTATAAACACTGTAATTACCAATATATATTTTTTTTTTGTGGGAGGCTCTTTGTCAACCTTGACTAACTCTTATTTGTTAGTCACCTGAGAGGTAATGTATTTACTTTCTGTTTATGTAGTAGAAGGAAATTGTGCCATAAATTTGTTATGCCTATAATTAAAACATTTGCAAAAAATGCATATGGGCCACGACATATGCTAAAAGATTGAATTAAATAATAGAGATTTGTGAGATAAGAATGATTTTAATTAAAACTCAGAAGGTCAAAGATCTGAAATGATGATTTATATAATGATAAATATTTTTTTAATTTCTATATATCAAAGACATGAATTCTTTCACTTGGTAACAGCAGATTGTGTTTTACATGATAGTGATATGAGGTTTAGAAATGTCATATTGCAATTTATAGTGTACCAATCATCTGAAATTATTTTGTTCTGTATGTTTGTCATTTCTAGCCTGATACTATGTTCAAATAAGAGCTTCAAATATTACTTCTCTAAAGGGATTTTATAAGTTTACACACACTCTCAAATAACCTTAGAGCGACTTGTCAGTAGACTACTCGACACACCAGCATGCACTCGCATACATTTGGCCCAGCTACTTTTTTCAGCACACAAGGAATAATCCAACCCCAGAGACCAATTCACCGCAACAGGGTTGAGTGTAGTAAATTTATATTATTGCCTTGCCAAAGAAATGAGTACAGTGGCAGGCAGGTTCAGTACATGTACACATCTATGTATCTCAGGAATGTCTTTTATGTCCTAAATTGGCACCCACAAACGTCCATTCATTCATTGATTGATACACACTGTATATGGTTGTGACATGTACCAGTAATTGAAACAAATGAATATTTTCTTGAACTGTTTTATAATTCATGAAGTACGTATCATGTTCTAACATTTCTATATATAAATTAATGTTGATTATGTAATAATGAATGGTCTATTGGTTGTGTTTTATTTCGAGTATTATGTTGAATAGGTTACTCCTTCAGGGTTTGGTAAATTGCAAGTGTTACGGGATGACACTTCCAGATAATGTTTAATTTTGAATAAGTATATTACATGTATATACATTTTAATGAATATCTACAAATGAGTAATATGATATAAAAACTAATATGAGGTATTTTCAAAACGTTGGGTTTCCTTTCAACCATGCATCAAATTCATGCTATATTGAATTTTATATATGTCTAGGTTTCTTACAGAATGACATAAAAGGTAAGTTTTTGTCATTCTGTAAAAAAACTGTTTAAAATTGATTATTTTCTAAACTTGATGACTGCTTGCCATAGGAAACTCAACTGTGTGAAAGAATCTGATATTAATGTTATTTTGTCATTAGCTTGTAGATTTGACTAAAATGTCTTTAATATTCTTTTATCAAAAATTATGAATTTTCTGGAATTCTCTGGAAATCTCACTCAGTAATGCTTGGAACCGACCTTTTACATCTGGCCAAGTAAAAGCCATTTATTCACTTTAGAGTCCCACTCATAAAAAAATGTGTTGGCGTTTACAAACATACATTGACCTTAAAATGTAGTTTACTGCATACATGTATTTGGTCCAATCCAAGCCGTAGTAAGAGTATCAACTGAATTAGAAGCAGATGTGGTAGGTAACATTATGGGACAAAATAGCTTGGACCTTCCCAGCTATCTTTAGCAATGAGGGTCTTGTTTACATATTTTTAATAGACGAACCAAATACAGTGTAACATACAGGTAGTATAGAGTACCAAAGCTGTGACGTCATAAAAATCTATTTTTAGAATTTCTCAATTTTTTCTTCATTTTCCGAAAGAGCATCAAAAATAATGTCAAAATGTCGAAAAACCAATTGAATATGTTTTCAACATTAGGACATTTTTTTATATGCTCTTTCGGAAAATGAAGAAGAATTTTTTTTTTTCTAAAAATAGATTTTTGATGACGTCTCACTTCACCACTCATCTATTCATCTATTCGTGAAATTGACAACCTGGACCCACTTCAAAGCTTCACTCAAAACTCACATCTTCCTTCAGACATTTAAATGCTAATTTTATTGGAGGAGCTCGCGCCTTTGAATGTTTTTTTGAAACAGATATTATGGCGCCATACAAATGCTGTTCATCATCATCATCATCATCACCACTCTATAACAAAAAGTACACACACCTTTGGTGTATGAAGTCCAGTCATAAGGTCTCTCTCTCTTTCTTCTTTTATTTTTATCTTGACATATCCGGTTGAATGATTTCTCGAAGAAAATAAAATTATGGGGAGGGGGGTGGGGGAATCTCTTCGAATCAGTCCTGTTTATATCATACCCCAGTCGCATCAATGAGAACACCGACTACAGATCGAACAAGAATAATAGTACGCGCAATGGCCATGAGGCGGTCGTTGTGGAGTCGGTTGGGTGCTGTGACTGAGGTAACGCCCAAGATCAGAGGTTTTTCAAACTTTTTCCTTGACGGTCCAGATGCATGTGCTTTCTATGAAAGCTGTATCAGGTCCGAAACGTGGGATGCCATTCGCCTAAAAACTCCCACACACGATCGTTTAGCCTACTTCGATTGAAGTAGAACAATGTACAATAATATTATTGATTGCTGAAATGCCCGGTACGACTCAAACATTACTCAATTTTGTCCAGACTTGGACAATCTGCTCCTTAATTTAACAGTAATGACATTTGAATACTGAAGGGCAAAAAGAAGCCTTTGTTAGGTCTTTTTCTAATCTAAGGAGAAAGCCTCCAGGGACAGTGCTTCCAATCGTTGTAATAGAGTTTTCTGAAGAAAAAAAAAACTTTTTTTTTATTTGGATGACTTGCTAGGGAGAACAACGTTATACGACTTGTCGCACAGTATCAAATTATGAACTTTAAACTTAACAATTTAAATTTGACGAGCGAGCAAAAATTGATATTCAATTCAGAGGAAAGGGGTAAAAAGTATGCATTTCTCAGCGGCGGATCCAGGAATTTTGAAAAGGGTTGGGGGTTTGAGTCCCACGTCGGACACTCTCGATCTTGAGATTTAGCAATTTAGAACATCCCAGAAAGCCGTTTTGAGTGATGAAAACTCACACTCTCTCCTAAGGACAATTTTATACAACAGCGAAATGTCTTGGTAACCGCTTCTTTCTCTACGGATGGGGTCCAGGGGTCCGCATTAGTACCCATGGTGGGTTGCAGGGACAGCGCCCCTATCCAATCCGTTCCCGACCCGTCACTCAGAGTAGTGATTTCTATTTTATTAGTGTATTTCTTTTTCTTTTCCTTCTCTCTTTTCTATTCCTCTCTTCTTCTCTTTAACATTTTGATGTCCGTCACGTTATCAAGAGAATGGATTTATCAACTCCAAAATAATATACAATTATCGCAACATAAAAGCTACAGATTCGGGAGATGTCATTCTACAAAATGTTCATGAAAATGATATCATGTTAAGCATAAATATGAAAGTGATACAGATAGTCAGAATTCTAGGAGTGTGAGATATAGATCTCTTTACTGTTTCCTTGACATAACCGTAATGGCTATACTTTTTAATTTTCAATCAGAGCTTATTAGTGTGTGTTAACTTAAGGCTGTTATGTCCGGCACTATAGGTGCTAACATAGCTCGTGTGCCTAAGCCAAGACGTTATTCTATTGGATATGCCCCATCATTAGAGAATGGCCCTTTTAATATTACAAGTAAGATTGCTTTTTAATTACCGTCCCAGTCAAGAAGGTGATTATGGGTGATAGATACATGGCATTCATGAGCAATCTACTTTTCTAAGAGTTGTATTAATTAAAGGTATCGACACGCCTTACTTTTACCTAACCATTTACTGTCTTTTCAGACATCGAGATTTCCGACTCGGGCGGCATTGAGACGAGATAAAAGGAATCTGGGCCTCATTTAAGGTAACAAAACAGAGTGTTAATTACGTGTGAATCTTCTTCGTAAGTGGGCTGAGGTAGATAACAATAGCAATCTGTGAAGTAAGAGAGACCAGGCTCATAATAATACCTAGAACTATAGGGACCGCCTACAGCACTACTATGTAAACATCGCAAACGCGTGAAAATTTCATTACAGCCCGTCCTCTATTGCGCGGTTAGTTTACAGGCAGTGGGTGTGCGTGCCCACCTGAACGTCAGCACCTCGGCTCTTTGATCCAAGCTATTGTTGGAAATCACTTTTAGATGGCCAAGAAACGGTAACAAATTGTGAAGAATATCTACGTTAGGAAAAGTGAAAGCGGCGAGCCTAATTAAAATGCTAATAGGTTAGTTGTTGTGAACGTTTGGTGGTATTCGCAGGCCTCTAATCATCGCTTTAGAAACTGGTGCAGAATGGTGTTACTTGGGCGGTATAGCGTTTCTATTCAAAGGGTATTGCAAGGCTCATCGAAAGATGGTTAGATAAATGCGAAGAGGAATTTGTAATGGTGTCAATGTTTAGGGAGCGGTAAACCTCTAAGAGAACTACATATAATCCCTTTGTAATGTTGATGAAGCTTCAAAATAGATACTCTAAAACACGCATTTCTAGCCAGGAAGTTAATATGAGGAAGACAAAAATAGTTTTCCAACCAGGGATGCCAACCATAATACTAATACCATCCTCCGACTTTGTATGAATTATATATCTACATGTCTTCCCCTCAGCTTCACTATTGTTGTTTATTCACATTTACATTTACATTTGCATTTACATGATATTATTAGGCTCGTATTATCAATCTTCATGAAATATCTGTCATGAACAAAATATTTGACCCTGTCCTCCTGTTATTCGGATAAGACTCCAGGCAGAAGGATGTGAAATTTTTAAGAATTTGATGACAAAAATTGAAGAAAAACAAACAGAGTGGTTTGTTCTTTACTCTTCCCATTTCTCTTTATTTCGTCACACTCTCGCGCCCCTCTCTTTCTCTCTCTTCTTCTCTCTTGCTCTTTCTCTCTCTTCTTCTCTCTTGCTCTCTCTCTCCATCTCTCTCTCTCTCTCTCTCTCTCTCTCCCTCTCTCTCCATACCTACCTAAATGTATCTACTCGATCTATCAATCTATCAGTCTATCCATCTATCTGTCCAACTATCTACCGTTCTTTCTTTCCTCTTCCCTTTCTCTCGGTCTCTCATCTACAGGTCGCAGCTACATCTTTCCCGCTTCCTCCCGATTTGCATCACGTCGCAAACTAAGCATGAAGCCCCCTCTTAACACGCAATCATAATCATGTACTCTAATAATAATCACGTGAGAGACGACAAAAATCTATATAATAAAAGATAGGTGCTGGAAAAGCTTTTAAGTGAATTGGTTTGTGGTTGAGACAGGGTGACATCAGTATAACGAGACCGTCAACGGGTATGCTGGTTTGAGAACAATACTCGACCGGTCGAGATTACACTCATTTTTATTGAAGTACATTTTCACGCCATTTCTCATTACATCCAAATCATATTGTGATTATGCGGCTTATCAGCGCTAGTGATCTGTGACGACCGAGACTGGGTCGGGGATAGGCGGGTGAAGATAAAACAGATATGGGTAGATCAACACATAGATGTGATGCATTGATAAGAGTATAAATATTTGAAATGACAGATTGCTAGATATGTACATGATGAAGTGGAGAATTGGATTTTGACTGATTTATGAAATCAAAGATGAATAAATAGATAAGAAGGTAATTATGTGTATTTCATTGGATTGAATGGATAGATGATTAGATAAAATAATACATAGATAGGTGTTTAGATAACGAAATAAAGGATAACAGTATGAAACTGTTTAGATGAATGGTAGATATTAAGCAATTGATCATAATAAATGGGCGGATAATCTGGGATAGATTATTCCGGTATATGAAGTTTTGAATCATAGAAATTGATTAATTATCTCAATACATACATTTTTCATATCGGCCTAATGTCAGCACATTTATTTGTA